GTACACGGACAGGATATTCTTTAACCGTATCCTGATAGTTCGGGTTTATCACATCATTTTCCTCCAGCGTCTAATACTGAAATTTCATCCTCTGTCTCCTATCAATCTAAATTTTGGAAACAAGGCAGAATATTTGTAATAATCAATGATCGGGATACCCAGGATAGATAAGAAACTAATTAGGTAACGATAAATAGAATGAGGAATCATGTATGTGTAGATTCATGCACAATATAAATAAGTGTCTTTGAAGGACAGACAGTGACTTGTGTTTTTGTAAGCTGCCCAGTTGGGGTGCATCTTGTAATTCACGGAGTGAATTGAAATGCGTAGAACTGTAATTAATGTACATGTAACTTTTACACCATTACAGAAATGCTTGTACAATAGTTTTTTCGCACACAGCATTTTGTACACAGATATTAAGTCAACTCATAAATGCTGTCGTCAAATTTGATAGTATATTTTTATTCAACTCTTTCAAGTTAGTAGGGAAGCCCAAGTAAAACCCATATTCAATCTGAAAATTTGACCAAAACGACAAAAAAAGGTATTTGCACTATTCTGTGATGGCAGCAATTGCAAACCCTGTGGTGCTTGAGTGTGATGGATGTATACTTTCATTCATTCATGAATGTATACAATGTGTATACAATGTGTATACATTGTGTTAAGCGCTTGCAAAGTGCATTTTCTATACCCCTTTGTATTTAAAACCATTCCAATAACAGCCGCAACTCAGGTGTAAGGTCGATTTTGTACGGTGTCTTTGAACATGAATTACAGAAGCTGGCAGTTTCATCCCCAAATTGAATGCACGAATAATCAAACAACGAAAAGGAATATATTGACATGTAAGATGTGCTTAGTGGTTTAAGCGGTGGACAGGCTCCAGCCTTTCATTTTTATTGCCAAGTTGGAAAAGAATGTCACTTGTCACAAGTTGGAAAAGAATGTCATTGTCACAAGTAGCTCAGTTTTTTTGGGGAAAAAAGAGGCACGTATAAATGTATTCGTTGTGTCTTTATGGAAGATGTATGCCTAAAGAAGGCATTTTTTTTTTCGAAACCATGTTCGTACATGACTTACATAGATAGAAACGTAAATGTCAAATGTTTTAAGTGTAGAATGGAAATCGTAAAAGAAAAAGAGGCAGAGATTGCAGTCAGTATCTGAGACATTCAAATTAGTTTAGACAGATTTGTTCTAGAGTTACAAGCTTTAAACCATCTCTTTTTTTAATAACCACTGAAATAGAATCATTCTTCTTCAGAAGAGAACCACGGTACATGTACCGGAAGCAGTAAAATTTAGAACATGTTCCGTGGCTTGAAGAGTTGAAGTTACTGTCATTATATATTGTGCCTGCTTGAAATGTATATTTTTTGAATTTGTTAACTTTTTTTGAATTCTTTCATTAATACTTCACTCTTAACGAGCATCTGCTTATCAACTGTATGCCCAAGTAGTGGACTTTTCAAATGATTTCATCGTGCATGTCTTGTGTTAGGCTATGTGATTTTCAATAGGAATTGCAGTTGGTATCTGTGTGATAAATGTATTGTATTGTTCATATCAATATGTGTTCAGAAAAAAAATGGATTTTATTGATATATGTATTTAGGCAATTGGAGATGAGAGTCCTTTAAATGATTTGCTTTGAAAAATGGTAGGAAACACAAAACGATATCAGTTCTGTTTGTGTTTATGTATACATGTACATGTACAATGTAGTTGCCATTTTGTGTTCCTTACAAGGTAAAATATTGTGCTTTGACTATTTTCTCTTTTGTTTCTTTGTAAAGCAGTTGTATCTTCATTGATCAGACTTATTACTCATTAATTATGAAATAACAATAATCTACATACCTACATGTATTTTGATAACCTTTTCATAAGGCCAAAAAAAAAAAGTCTCCGGTTTCTGGTATGGAGCTTGCCCAAAAAGTGGTGCGGTGACGCGGCTTTTTTTTTTTTTTTTACCTGATTTTTTTGCTTTAAATGTGTGCTGATGACTGCAAATGGTGCCCGACTAAACTTAGTGCAAATATATGGGAGTCCAGAGAGGTCACATAAAGCTTATTCTCGACCATAACCTAATCTAAAAACACGTTAAAATTTTGCAGCAGCAGGATTCCAGTCAAACCAGTGAGTTTGGCGGTTTTGAGACATCATCTTTCATTGAAAAAAAAACTTTTTCATTTTGCCGACGCGCATGGCTACGGCGACGCGCGCGCATACCAGAAACCGGAGACTTTTTTTTTTTGGCCTAAAGTAAGGTTACCTTTTAAAGGGGAACAAGATTTTAATCCACTTCTTTGGAAGGGGTCTACTTATTAACTTATTAAAAATAGCTTTTTTCCCCCTTCTTTTGAATGAGGCGAGTGATAAAGATAAACAATCAGATTTACAAAATATTCTTTGAATGCTTTAAATAATAATTGTGTGCTTGGCCGGTTTAAAACACTATGTTAAGACCGGTTGGAGTCTGGATACTGATAATTACCCAAGCCGAAGGCAAGGGTAATTATCAGCATCCAGACTCCAACCGGTCTTAACATAGTGTTTAATACCGGCCAAGCACATATTTATTCCCATTCATAAATACCTTTTCGGTCAAAAAATCAAAAGTTTTCGGTCAAAAAATCAAAACGTTCAAAAACCTGCAGAACGCAGCTGTGCCGGTGTATTGTGAATTTAGGACTATGAAATACTCCCTCACTGGTAGTGTTGCGCATGCCTGAGGATTGTGAACGTTCAACCAATAAAACGGTAAAAGGCACCGGAATTCATAGGAGTCCAAATTTCATGCGACACTGGAAAAATGTTTAAGACCAGCCAGCCGGTCTTTATCAACTGTTAAAACCGGCCACGTGACTTGCTCTCGACCAACAGGAATGGGTAAACTGGCTTAGGTATTTATGAATCTGTAATTGTTGTCATAATAGATATAAATGAAATCGGTTTTGTAGGGTGCTGTTTTTTCTTTAAGCTACGCCTCAAGGAAGATGAAGATGATGTTGTATCATGTTGTATGTGTAAATCTCAACAGAGTTATACCCTGAATGTTGTGTTGCGTTAAATTCAGTGAAATCACTGTAACCATTCAATTGCAGTATTCATCCGCTGTAATCTCAGTTTTGATGACCATTCAGTGTACCTGTTGTGATTAGAACTGGCGTTATTAAGATGGTGTCTTGGTAAGCTGCAAATAAATCATTTAATGTAAATACAACATGTACATGTAATTCAAAGTGCAATTTTCAATTAACAGTGACATGTTGTTTGTTGGAAAGAAAATGTACTCTACTGTCTTGTGCCATCCTAATTATGGTTTGTGCTTTGTTGCATATAAACTCCTGATCAGGGGCTTGTAGTCAATTAGTGGACCACCTCGGTTCTGTGAAGAGCATGCACAGCAACAAGGGGAACATGGGAGAAAACAAGTGTGGTCAGACATTCTTATTCAAGTGCAGTGCTGTGCGGGGCTCCAAGTACATGTAGAAAGGGGAAGGGTTCATTGGGTGACTTGGGGACCTCATTTTCTGGAGGGGCACTGATGAATATGTCTTGACTTGGGGGAGGGGAGCTGACTCCTTGTGCTCTGTCGGTTACGCTATGGCTTTCGTGCAAGCAAACCATCCCCTGGTTATGGAAACATCATGGAAGGGAGTCTTGGTCCAACTTCCAAGACTGGATTTGGAGGAAAGAATGTTGCATCCTGACGCCACTTTTTGCATCATGTATTAGCTCAATGAAGCTCAGTCATTGCAAAAAATGTTGAAAAGACACGAATCTGTGACTGAGAAACATTTCCAATTTTGTTAGATAATTATTGTGAAAATGCACTCAACTCTCCATAGACTTCGTACCCAGCACAGAGATTGCGTCTGGATACTACATTCTTTCCGATTGAATTTTGCACCCCTAAAAGCAACTGGTTCCGATCATCAATGATAACCACGACCAAGCCACCGCAGTGGTAGGGGGCGCTAGATCTACTACCACTTAAATCATCCGATCTTATTCTTGTTGATAATGCCTTCTAGTCAGGGCCTGGTTGGATTGGAAACGAAATCCAGATGCAGTTCTGGACCAAAGGCCACTACCTGAAACGCAACGCTTTTGTTTTTTTTCAGTTGGCTTTTTGCGTTCAAGGTAAACTTTACATGAAGTATACTGGAAGCTACGTTGACCAATACTTGTTTCATGAAGAAATTTAAAAAAAGAGGCAGTGTTCACTATTAGGTTTACACGCAAGTTACAGTTAGACCTTTTATTTAAAACAATTTAAGTTTTGCCATATATGCCATCAACTTTTTCCCTTCACCCCACCCACACCAATCTAGACCACCCTAACCCCACACCACAAAGGTTGTGTATACTTTACTATACTAAAACAATTTTGATTGTTTGAGACCCCCCAATAAAAGGCATTTACCCCTCCCTGTAAAGGCTAGCCCCATAAATGTGGCCGATTTACTGGACTACTTCCGTAAATATCGAAAACACCCGAGCCAAAATGTTAACGGAAACTGCTTTCGAGAAACTTCCAACCGGATACGGGGGCGGCCGGTGGAATGTTGCCCTTTATCTCATACCTGACTAATAGGTGCCTAATATGACTAATGAAACAGGGTAGATTTTGGCAGCTGAGATTTATTGGCCACCTCTTTCGCTTGCCTGATGTGGGAACTATGTAAGCTATGCCCTATGCATGTATTATGTTCCCTGTCTTGACAAACTAGGATGTCCATCTTTACACACACAGTGCCTGGTTGGAGCAGCAGGTCCATGATGCTTGTGCAAGAAGGTAGGCCGGGATATCCAGCTTAACGCTGGATCGGAGTGTATGAACTCAGAGAGATTGTGGTCGCCTCCTCCGCAGGAGAATGATGATGAATGACGATCAGAACGTCATTCATGCATTTATCCTGGGAGAGTTTCCGAGATCTCAAACCCCTGTACAAAAAAGATCCATATATGCTAAAAAGTTGATTTTTTCCTCCCGCAAGATGCTTTTTAAGGTTGTGGATCCTGATGATATACTTGAGTTTATGAGTTAGAAGATTCGTTTTTTTCCAATCCAAAAACGTGAAGATGTTACGATATTTTTAGTAGTTACGTTTCACTCCTAAACTAGGAGCTTCGTCAGACTGGCAACCATGTCCAATGCTCAACTGCCTTTTATACCCTTTCTTGGTCGTCACAGAGGGCGTAAGCGGGCGTGGCTTGGACAAGTTGGTCATACAGCTTGTATGCCCCGTCTTCTTTATTGAGTGTTCTTTACTGAGTAACAACTTCACGTTTTTGGATTGGAAAAAAAACCGAATCGCCTAACATATGTTTCACCAACAATCCAGATGAACGTATTTAAATACTTGAGTTTATTTTGTCTCGTACATCCTTTCGACTGATTTCTCATCCTTGGCATCATTGAATCACAATTACTTCAAGCATCCATAATGCTCATTGTAGAATACAGACCTCCCATTCAGTTGTTAATTTCTGCCTAGTGTTTTGTGACCTCATGCTGGCCTTTTCAGCTCAGAACAAAATACCCCTTAAACCCTTTATTTAAAAACCAAAACTGCGACGGAAAGAAAGGAGCAAAATATTCAAATTAAAATCAAATTAGCAACTTGATGACAAGTGCCTCTCCTGCTGCTAGAGAGATTCCATTCATCTCCTGCAGGTTCCCGTTACGATCCATATTGCTACTGACTTCAATGACCCCCGTGTCGCCCTCGGCTTTCAACATCATCTCCTCTAAAGCAGCGGAGTAGTCATCAGTCGACTCAGAAGTACCAGCGTTGACAATGATTAGGAAGGAATTAAGGCCCGGTGTATCAGGTATGCGAAGGAAGGAGAAGATCTTTTCAGTCACGACGACGTACTTGAGGTGGTTGGTTTGGAAGGCGGGCGCGTCTTTCCGGAGTGCTGCTAATTTCGTGTAGAGTGCCAACGCGGAGGTGTTATCTGCCTTTTGGTCAGCAACGTTGATTCCTGAGAGATAGTTCTGGTTGACAGGAAGCCATGTATCTCCGATAGTGGTGCTGAAGCCAGCATGAGATGACCTGTCCCATTGCATTGGAGAACGTTCGGGGTCTCGCGTGTACTCCTTCCAATGGTTGGGGTTGTTTTTGGCAAACGGATCCCGGCTTTCGTTGTAAGTGACCCAGATGTCCCCCATAGCTATCTCATCACCATAGTAGGTTTTGGGAGTTCCGGGGAGAAGGAGCTCAAGAACGTTTAAGGCTCGAGCGTAGTTGGCCCCTATACGATGAGGGATACGAAAATTGTCGTGGTTACAGATGATCCAGTTTGGCCATTTACCCGACGGCAAGTCTTTCATCCAATCATTGACCAGCTCGAATATTTTTGTCCCAGAGAGGTTCTCCCTCTTCAGTTGAGTCAAGACATAGTTGAAGGGAAAATCTGCTTCAGGTCGTTCCGGGGTTCCGTAGTATGGGAGGAGTGCCTTATGAGTATCGTAAGTCTCCGTTGCCATGAAACGGTAGTTTGGTTCCCCGCTGTACTTGTCCAAGACTCTTCGCCACACGTACATTAATTCGTGTACCTCGGGGAGATCAGCCGTTTTGTTGTGGATAAGGCTGTGATACTGGGGTCGCTCGCCTGGTATCGGCGTGTAGTCGGGGTTTATTGGTTCGTCCTCCAGGTCTTCGCTTTCGTAAATGTGTCTGATTGCATCCACCCGAATACCGTCTACGCCTTTTTCTAGCCAGAATTGTAGGACGCCTATTATCTCCAATTGAACAGCGGGATCACGGTGGTTCAGATCCGGCTGCTTTTTGAGGAACTGATGAAGATAGAACTGTTGTCTCTCTGGTACCCACTCCCATACTGTACCTCCTAGCAGACCCACCCAGTTATTCGGAATGCATTTCTCTGGTGGATCAGAACAATTTTTCTTCGGGTCTACCCACACGTAGTAATCTCTGTATCGGTTGGTGCTGTCTTTGTTTTTCTTGCTCTCGACAAACCACGGATGCTGATCGCTGGTGTGATTGGGCACAAAATCCATCACGAGTTTAAGGCCAAGCCGGTGTGCCTTACTGATCAGCTCATCGAAATCAGCCATGGTACCAAATATGGGATCTATATCTTTGAAGTCAGCCACATCATAGCCAAAGTCGGCCATGGGCGACTTGTAGACGGGATTCAACCATATGGTGCCTACCCCAATGTCGTTGAAGTACTCCAGACGGGACGTGATACCAGCCAGATCCCCCACACCATCACCGTCTGAGTCCATGAAGGAACGCGGGTAGATCTGGTACACGATCGTGTCCTTCCACCATTCATTCCATCTAAATCCAACAACCGTGTTTGATATAAACACGAACAGAAGAAAAGCGTGCTTTGCTGCCATGATGACTTTCGAGTGAAAACAAAATTATTTTAGTCATTGGTTTATTTTATGTTTCAATGCAGTCGTATGTTTACTAGTTTATCGTAAAAGTGATCATATTCACTTGTTATTCGGTGTAAACTGATCCATCTGGACGTCAAACTCTAGACGCGGCAACTCTAGACGTGAGGTATCTGGAATTGAAGGCGACCGTCTGGTAAATCCGTTGCGCAGTTTTGGAAGGTTGAACAGCTAATATTATTTACACACGAGCAACCCATCCCAAACAGGATCAACGTCTGGGAGACGATCGGGTTCAATCTCCCGTGGTAATTCTTTCCGTCATGCGCTCAGAGGGTGATGAGTTAAAGGATAAGTGGTGCGCGCGTGCGTTGTCAATTATATCAATTTCTAACCACCTCGTGTCTAGAGTTTCGGTTTTGTAGGCCTGAATTGCAAGCCGCGCGCTTCTTAAATGGATCGGTTAAATAACCACATTGAAACCACACAATATATATACCATAGGCCTATACAGGTTTGAGTACAATTATTTAAAAGTCACCATGGCAGTCATGCACGCTGTTCTTCTGTTCGTGTTCATTCAGACCTTTCCTGTGGGAGTTACATTAAACGAATGGTGGAAGGACACGATCGTGTACCAGATCTACCCGCGTTCCTTCATGGACTCAGACGGTGATGGTGTGGGGGATCTGGCTGGTATCACGTCCCGTCTGGAGTACTTCAACGACATTGGGGTAGGCACCATATGGTTGAATCCCGTGTACAAGTCGCCCATGGCCGACTTTGGCTATGATGTGGCCGACTTCAAAGATATTGATCCCATATTTGGTACCATGGCTGATTTCGATGAGCTGATCAGTAAGGCACACCGGCTAGGCCTTAAAGTCGTGATGGATTTTGTCCCCAATCACACCAGCGATCAGCATCCATGGTTTATCGAGAGCAAGAAAAACAAAGACAGCACCAACCGATACAGAGATTACTACGTGTGGGTAGACCCGAAGAAAAATTGTTCTGATCCTCCAGAGAAATGCATTCCGAACAACTGGGTGGATCTACTGGGCGGTACGGTGTGGGAGTGGGTACAAGAAAGACAACAGTTCTATCTGCACCAGTTCCTTAACATTCAACCAGACCTTAATTATCGCAATCCCGTCGTACATTTGGAGATGATCAACGTACTACGATTCTGGCTGGAGAAAGGCGTAGACGGATTTCGTGTCGATGCAGTCAGACATATGTACGAAAGCGAAGACCTGCAGGATGAACCAATCAATCCCGATTACTCGTCGATACGGAGCGGACATGTCGCGTATGGCAGCCTTGTTCATAGCAAGACGTTTGATCAACCTGAAGTCCACGACCTTATCTACGAATGGCGAAGAGTCTTGAACGAATACAGCATGCAATCAAACTACCGCTTCTTGACAATTGAAACTAATGACACTTACGAGATACTCCTCCCATACTACGGAACTCCGAGTCGTCCTGAGGCAGATTTTCCTTTCAACTATGGACTGACTGCACTCAGCATGGAGACATTTACTGGGAGCAAAGTTCACCAATTGGTCAATGATTGGATGAAGGACCAACCACATGATAAATGGCCAAACTGGGTAACCGGTAATCATGACTGTTTTCGCGTCGCTGATCGTGTGGGGATCCAGTACGCACGGGCTTTGAACGTCTTGAATCTGCTTCTTCCAGGAACCCCTAAAACCTACTACGGAGAAGAGATAGGTATGATGAATACTTGGGTCCCATTCAGCAAATCACAGGATTCTTATGCAGCCATTGATCCTAGCCACTGGAAGGAGTACACACGAGACCCAGAACGTTCTCCAATGCAATGGGACAGGTCATCTCATGCTGGCTTCAGCACCACTATCGGAGATACATGGCTTCCTGTCAACCAGAACTACCTCTCAGGAATCAACGTTGCTGACCAAAAGGCAGATAACACCTCCGCGTTGGCACTCTACAAGAAATTAGCAGCACTCCGGAAAGACGAGCCCGCCTTCCAAACCAACCACCTCAACTACGTCGTCGTGACTGAAAAGATCTTCTCCTTCCTTCGCATGCCTGATACACCGGGCCTTGGTTCCTTCCTAGTCATCATCAACGCTGGTACTTCTGAGTCGACTGATGACTACTCCGCAGCTTTGATGGAAGGTCACCAGTTGAAGATGGAAGGAAACATCGGGACCATCACAGTCAGTAGTAACATGGATCGAGACGGGGTGTCTCAAGACATGAGCAAGGTCTCTGTCGCAAAAGGCGAAGCACTCGTTGTCAAATGCTTTTGTTGATTTTAACATGAGTCCAGATCTGAAAAGCGAGGCTCTATCGAACTGTACGTTTATAAAGTCCGTTTTCACAGCTTTAAAGCACGAGAGGCAAATTGACAAATTCTTCTTTTAAGTAATGTTACCTGATTTTATGGCAAATACAGCATTTCATTTTATTATCATCTACTCAATACTTTGTGGTTTTATGATTATATAATTTCACCCGATCGGTTTTTTTTTGAGAAGGTAGTAAATCATAGGTCAAGCTATTTACTTTAACAGAAAATATTGGGTTAAAAAGGCTTTATCTGGTGGCAAGGGTTTAGTCTGTGTGTTTCAGAGCACGGTCAAGTTCCCGACGCACCTAAGTGGGAGTCGAACGTACGTGTTGGCCTCTGCTTTTCTGGAGCTATCATTGGGTCGCTTTTATTAAATTCTTCTTTCGCTCCACGAAGTGACGTATTCTGTGCATAAAGTCAATGGTCGATCCAGCACTTGGATGGTGCACCCGAAAATAGACATAGTTATAACGTCATACATCGGTAATGGGCTGCAATAACCTACTCACATTCACTGCATTATCAAGTGGAGGACACCCCCTCCCCTCCCCCGTGACATTTTGATATTTTTTTAAAAGGGAAATCAGCACCTCACATCTGATATACCAATAGTAACTCTCTTCCCTACCGGCGATGCTGGAATACGTACAGTGCCACCTAATGTGTGAAAGTGCTCAAAACTGTCCGATTTTAACACTGTCCCCAATAGTGAGATGGAGCCACTCTCCCTCCACCCCTTACAAAAACTACAAAATTACAAAAACTGTATGCTAAAATTGCCCTTACTGCGTTGCTTTGTCACTGTTAGTTCATGCATCTAAATCTGTTTAGCTTACATATTTGAGTGGGCGTGTCCCTCAGTTACTGCATGGCAATGGTAGATTATGATTAATTGGGCTATTAGCTTTGTGCACTTTTTCAATTGTTTACTATGATTATTGTACTCTCGGTTGATCAAGTCCTATAAAAGGCAGAACGGGATTTATTGAACCCCACTTCTAGAACTTCTATCCTCCTGGCTTGAGGGGAGGTGGGACCAATAGAAGTCAAAGTAGTTTCATGTTTTCAATTTGTTTGGGTGTGATCCACTACAATCCCCAATCTACTTAGTTTATCCGACCAGTCTACTACAAAGGTCATCCACATCATCCACCTAGTCCACCTCATCCACTTAGTCCACCCAATCCCGCAAGGTAACCTGCCTAGTCTATACCAATCCACAAGGTAACCCACCTAGTCTACCCAGTCCATTAGGTATCCCCACAGTCCACCCATTCCAACCTGTCAACGAGGAAATCCACTCTTCCCCTTAGTAAATTCACTTGCTGGGCCCTACTGTAAAAAACGGGACATCTAATCATCAATAAGAAGTGCATACCGGGGCCATCAACCGCAGGGATTGAACGTCATTGGACATTATTCCAGGGCAGGAACGTTAAAGATATAGTCCATCATTTGTAATTTGTGCATTTTGTTCGTTTGAAGCAACAAAAGTGTTCAAAATCTAATGAAGGAAACTGAACAACTAACCTGCTGAAGTTTCAGCTCAGCTTCAGCTGATATATTCTGCGAAAAAACAGCATTCTAGGATCTCAATTTCCAATCAAAAGTTGCTGAACCATGTTTTGAATTGGGCCTGAATTCAGCGTCCGAGACACGTTCTCACTGAGCCGATTGCAGCTATACGCGATCAGGGGCGGATCCAGAAATTTTCGCGGGGGGGGGGGTTTCATCAGCAAAAAAATCTGAAAATGTACGAGGTTTTTTTCTCCGGACACTTGGCCTCCGTAAAATCAAGGGGGGGGGGGGCCCTAGTACCGTATTTCAATAGGGGGCGCTGTTCAAATTCGACCATTATTAGCACTAGATTACAGAATAGTGTACCGTATTTTAAACAGGCAGACGTTATACCAGTATAATTTTTTTTTTTGGGGGGGGGGTGTAACAGAAGGGGGGGTTTCGACTTATTTTTTTGGAATTTGTATGGAAAAAAAGACCCCCAAACCCCCCCTCTGGATCCGCGCCTGGCGATGTCGCGCACTGATCCGACGAATTATAGCAACCGCGCGCGCGTGTGCGTCGTGTCAATGCTTGCGCCCGCGACACGAGCTTCGTATATCGCCGTCTAAAGGTACCTTAACCTGGGAAGTTCTGCACAAACTATACCTTGTTCGGAAGCTTATGATCAGGCCAACAAGCTGGCAAATGGACAGGTCTTGAAACCAAGTGGTTGAGGAGAAAATTCAAGATATAGCGCATCAATGCCAGTAGTAACAGCAATGCCTGCAAGCGCCCGCGACACGAGCTTCGTATATCGCGGTCTAAAGGTACCTTAATCTGGGAAGTTCTGCACAAACTATACCTTGTTCGGAAGCTTGTGATAAGGCCACCACGCTGGCGAAAGGACACGTCTTGAAACTGAGTGGTGGTGGAGAAAATTTAAGATATAGCGCATCAATGCCAGTAGTACCCCTATGTGCAGTCAGTCTAACAGCAATGCCTGCAAGCGCCAACGACACGAACTTCGTATATCGCGGTCTAAAGGTACCTTAACCTGGGAAGTTCTGCACAAACTATACCTTGTTCGGAAGCTTGTGATGAGGCAAACAAGCCGGCAAAAGGACAGGTCTTGAAACCCAGTGGTTGCGGTAAAATTTTAAGATATAGCGCATTAATGCCAGTAGTACCCCTATGTGCAGTCAGTCTAACAGCAATGCCTGCAAGCGCCCGCGACACGAACTTCGTATATCGCGGTCTAAAGGAACCTTAACCTGGGAAGTTCTGCACAAACTATACCTTGTTCGGAAGCTTGTGATAAGGCCAACAGGCTGGCGAAAGGACACGTCTTAAAACCAAGTGGTGGCGGACAATTCAAGATATAGCGCATCAATGCAAGTAGTACCCATATGTGCAATCAGTCTAACAGCAATGCCTGCAAGCGCCCGCGACACGAACTTCGTATCTTGCGGTGTAAAGGTACCTTAACCTTGCAATTTCATCACAAACTATACCTTGTTCAGAAGCTTGTGATCAGGCCACCACGCTGGCGAAACGACAGGTCTTAAAACCAAGTGGTGGCGGAGACAATTCAAGATATAGCGCATCAATGCCAGTAGTACCCATATGTGCAATCAGTCTAACAGCAATGCCTGCAAGCGCCCGCGACACGAACTTCGTATATCGCTGTCTAAAGGTACCTTAACCTGGGAAGTTCGGCACAAACTATACCTTGTTCGGAAGCTTGTGATAAGGCCAACAAGCTGGCAAAAGGACAGGTCTTGAAACCCAGTGGTTGCGGTAAAAATTTAAGATATAGCGCATCAATGCCAGTAGTACCCCTATGTGCAGTCAGTCTAACAGCAATGCCTGCAAGCGCCCGCGACACGAACTTCGTATATCGCGGTCTAAAGGTACCTTAACCTGAGAAGTTCTGCACAAACTATACCTTGTTCGGAAGCTTGTGATAAGGCCAACAGGCTGGCGAAAGGACACGTCTTGAAACCAAGTGGTTGCGGAGACAATTCAAGATATAGCGCATCAATGCCAGTAGTACCCCTATGTGCAGTCAGTCTAACTGCAATGCCTGCAAGCGCCCACGACACGAGCTTCGTATATCGCGGTCTAAAGGTACCTTAACCTGGGAAGTTCTGCACAAACTATACCTTGTTCGGAAGCTTGTGATAAGGCCACCACGCTGGCGAAAGGACACGTCTTGAAACCAAGTGGTGGCGGAGACAATTCAAGATATATCGCATCAATGCCAGTAGTACCCCTATGTGCAGTCAGTCTAACTGCAATGCCTGCAAGCGCCCGCGACACGAGCTTCGTATATCGCGGTCTAAAGGTACCTTAATCTGGGAAGTTCTGCACAAACTATACCTTGTTCGGAAGCTGGTGATAAGGCCACCACGCTGGCGAAAGGACACGTCTTGAAATTGAGTGGTGGTGGAGAAAATTTAAGATATAGCGCATCAATGCCAGTAGTAGCCCTATGTGCAGTCAGTCTAACAGCAATGCCTGCAAGCGCCCGCGACACGAACTTCGTATATCGCGGTCTAAAGATACCTTAACCTGAGAAGTTCTGCACAAACTATACCTTGTTCGGAAGCTTGTGATGAGGCAAACAAGCTGGCAAAAGGACAGGTCTTGAAACCCACTGGTTGCGGTAAAAATTTTAAGATATAGCGCATTAATGCCAGTAGTACCCCTATGTGCAGTCAGTCTAACAGCAATGCCTGCAAGCGCCCGCGACACGAACTTCGTATATCGCGGTCTAAAGAAACCTTAACCTGGGAAGTTCTGCACAAACTATACCTTGTTCGGAAGCTTGTGATCAGGCCACCACGCTGGCGAAAGGACACGTCTTAAAACCAAGTGGTGGCGGAGACAATTCAAGATATAGCGCATCAATGCCAGTAGTACCCATATGTGCAATCAGTCTAACAGCAATGCCTGCAAGCGCCCGCGACACGAACTTCGTATATTGCGGTGTAAAGGTACCTTAACCTTGCAATTTCATCACAAACTATACCTTGTTCAGAAGCTTGTGGTGAGGCCAACAAGCTGGCGAAACAACAGGTCTTGAAACCCAGTGGTTGCGGAGACAATTCAAGATATAGCGCATCAATGCCAGTAGTACCCATATGTGCAATCAGTCTAACAGCAATGCCTGCAAGCGCCCGCGACACGAACTTCGTATATTGCGGTCTAAAGGTACTTTAACCTGGGAAGTTCTGCACAAACTATACCTTGTTCGGAAGCTTGTAATAAGGCCAATAAGCTGGCGAAAGGACACGTCTTGAAACCAAGTGGTGGTGGAGAAAATTTAAGATATAGCGCATCAATGCCAGGAGTACCCCTATGTGTAGTCAGTCTAACAGCAATGCCTGCAAGCGCCCGCGACACGAACTTCGTATATTGCGGTCTAAAGGTACCTTAACCTGGGAAGTTCTGCACAAACTA